TTTAATTCATCAATTAGAGAAAAATCATCTAAAATTCTAGCACTCTCTTTAATAGTTTTCTTCTTCTAAGTTTCATTCTCAACACAAGTGACATATATACTCACTACTATTCTTTTAGTATCAGGAGCGTACAACATGTACCCACCAGTTGAGTGATAACTAACTAGTAGCATTGGTTTAGCTATGTTGTCTAGTTTCTTCCCATTTTGATCTTGTACATGCACATAATAAAGTGAGTCAAATATCCTAAAATGATCAACACTAGGATTCTTCCCGTACCACTTCTCTTCAAGTATCTTGTTATTAAGTCTCTTAGTAAGACATCTATTTAAAATATAAGTTGTTGTCATTGCAACGTCACCCTAGAATTTTGATGAAAGTGGCTTCCCTTTCAACATGCTTTTCACCATGTTAAGCAGTTATTTATTCTTTTTTTCAACAGGTCCATTATGTTAAGGGATATATGAAGGTGTAACCTCATGTATTCACTATAAAAGTTTTCAAATTTAGCACATGTATATTTTCCTCCTCTATTAGTTCTTAGGAACATGATACACTTATTACTTTTTTCTCTACTTGTTTCTTCCACTTTTGAAACACTATGAAAGCATCATTTTTACTACCATTGACAAATACCCAAATTTCCTTGTAAGTTCATCAACAAAAGATATGAAATACTTGCAACCACATAGTATAGGTACCTCAATTGGCTTACAAATGTCTTAGTAGATGACCTGCAATAAACAAATTGCTCTGCAGAATATGTAATAGACTTAAAAGACTTCGTTAATTATTTGCTTGCTTATGATATTTTTCACATAATGTTTAGGTATCTAAATATTAGGCAATCTAATCACCATCTTCTTTGAACTAAACAACTTTAAAATTTAAATCATATCTTTTTGGTGCCACAACCCCCTCACCCATCCACTAAAGCTCTCTTCTCTTGGATCTTTTCCAAGTCTTTAAATCTAACTTTATTCATGATGTTTGACTCAAGATCAACGAGTCATTCTTGTGTTCAGTCATATCATTAGAACATCTCATATCAATATACCAATGGTCATCCTCTGATTTTGGTCCTTGTGGTTATAAGCATAATATGCTCAGAACTGGAACTTTTTTTCTCTGTTGTTACATGTGTCTCATCATTTCCTTTTATATCTTTGTCTGAGCATCAATCATCAACAAAATTCTCAAGTTAACCACAACTATATCATTCAATTTGGATTTATCAAATTTTTTCTTTCCTTTGAATTTCACATTTTCTTTCATTCACCCTTGTTCTTTGAAGTTTCAACATCATCACCATCAAAATGATCATTATTACAAATATTTCTCTTACCTCCACCCTCATGATACTTCCTTTCGCTTTTCCCTCCACTGTTTTCTATCACTATCTCTCTTAAAACTAGTTTTGGCTTGCAAGGGATGACCAATCTTTTGTTGTTGGTCTCTTTTAACGAATCGTTGTTCATGTGTTTTAATAACTATGTCTATTGAGATTTGTCATGATGATTATTATAAAAATCAAACTACACAAAGAACAAAAAATGTCTTCTTTTATCTTGGTCCCAAGATCTTTTTGCTCTAGATACCAATTTATTAGGGATGCACCGGTTGCAAGTTATGGAGTAATCAAAGAAAAAACAAAAAATATAAAGTAGAGAAAATTATATATATTACATTTTACATGTGCAAAAGTTTACATTTTTATTAACATTTATCATTTATCTAAATTTTATTTTTATCTTTATTTATCTAAATTTTATTTTTATTTAAAAAAAATGGGGAGTGACCCATTTATCTTATTCACATTAATCATTATTGACATGAGTGAATTAAACTCTTACCCTCATTGGATCCATTTCTTAGTTGGTTGGAGAATTTTTTTCCTTCTTCTACACCATTCATTCTAAAAAGTAATTAAGACAAATTCAGTCATATTTTCATGTTCCAATTGACCACTTTTATTTTTATTATTCTAAAAGAAAAAAAAATCTTTCTTTTTACAAAACATACATCTAACCACAATCTTATAATAAGAAGAAAAAAATCTGTCGTGATCAATCATTTTCTCCAATTTTTTATAATTAGAAATCTCATTTTCAATCATATTTAAATTTTTTCTTTTCGAATTAGGATTCTTCTAATACATTTCTATTTACTTTTTTTTTTCATTATTCCTTAACTCCTACAAAATTTGATCATGTATAATATGAGTCATTGATTAAAGATAATTGAAATATATATATATATATATATATATATATATATATATATATATATAATTTTAGTAGGCTTATATTTCTTTATCTTATTTTAAAAAATATATATTTTAACACCTCCAATATTATTTATTCTTTGTTGACATTGTGCTCAATTTCTTCGGCATTTAAATATGAAACTCCCTTCCTTTAGTCCTTATAAAATCATTAATAAATCATTAAGTGAATAAGTTGTTGACCCACTCTAAACATACCATCAAAAGATGACTTAGACAAATGGTCAAGAATTTGTATTACCTGATTTTTGTTGGTTGGTTTTTGTAACATGTTCCACATAACATATATTGATTTAAAATACATAATAAAAATGAAAGATTTTTTTTATTAGGATTAAAGAAAAAAAAAAGTAAGAATTAAACCTGATTGCAAAAAAGAAAATTCAATCGTACTTATGTGATCTTAGAATAAAGTTAAATATTTTAATATAGTATTTCATACCAAATTTCATTTGCTTTTGTAACCATTTACTTCATAGTTAACGGTGATAATTGGTTATCTCATCTTCATTTTCATATATATTTATATTTTTAATTTATTGTTATAAGATTAATTATTTTTGTAATAATATTTTTCTCAATCCATAATAAATATTTCAAATAATAATAGTGAAAAGAAGATGACATGTATATAATTTTTAGTGTACTCCAAAAATAAATTTCATGTTTATTTTTGTGAAATTAGATTTAGAAGTATTATTTTATATTTAAATATTATGATCGAAAATTAATAGAAAAAAATTAATCTTATTAAATTTTGTAAAAATATTACTTTTAGTACATTTATGGCTTATTTAGAATTGTATAATTAAAAAATTGCCTCATCTATCGTCACACTATTTTTTATTCACGTACCTATTTTTGATTGACGTGACCCATGAGCGCATTTTTGTATGAGATGCTTGATGAAAATGAGCGAAAAAAAAATAGTTGAGAAAAAAAATCATATTATCGTTATTTTATTTTAAATTTGTTGCATAATTCTGCATAGTTACATTATGTTCAAAAATAATATCACTAAAAAAATTAAAAATATTACAGGAAAATATACTATAATTTTCATTTTTATCATAAAATAATGAAATTCAAGGTTATTTTTTCATCTTCATATATGAGAAACAAAATAGAATATATGTACAATCATAAATCATAAGTTAAAAATTTGGAACAAAATGTATCTAATTTAACTATAATCGTTTATCTAATTAAGATGAATGATAATAATAACTAATAATTAAATTATTTCATCAATGTTCTTAAGAACAACTAATGGATGTTATACATTCAATTATTTAACATGAAGATCAATTATAATTTTTTTTATGTCAGTAGGTGTTAAGATTTTAATTAATATAAAATTAATTAGTAATATATATAAAATAATTTAACATATATTTAAATCATATTATGACATGAAATATGAGACTTATGTCTTCGTATAAAATATATTAATATAAAATAAATCAAGCAAACAGTACTTTTGTCCTAGAATGAAATAATCAACTATTGACACAAGACAGCAACGGAAAATAAATTAGGTTTTGATTATGATATCATGTTAATATTTTAATATAAAATTAATTGAGAATATATAAAATATAGGTGATGTGATTTTATGTTGTATCCTTAGCATCAATAATTGTATTATAAATTTAATTTTTTTTATCTTATTTTACTTTATTTTTCATATAACTTATTTACACATTAGATAATTAAAAAATACTTAGAAAGAAAATCAAATAATAAAAACTGAATAATAATTTATTTTCAAAATAATAGTAGTGACATTTTTTTTATTTCACATTAGATTAAAATGCTTACTTATCTTATATATTTAAGGTCCATTGATACAGTCAATGTTTGGAATCTAATTAGGAAATTAAATTGAATTCAACAAGTTTAGTTAAAATTGTGTTACATACACTTAATCTACTTTTGACTACTTTTATCATAAAAGTAATAACTAAATGTATTTTCTTTTAAATGGAATTGTATTAAGTTTATCGTGTTAAATAACTGCATTCAGTGATGTATGATAACTCTTTAGAAATAAAAAATATTTAATATAATTATTTTAAAAAACACCTTAAACTCAAATAGTTACTGAGTAAAGTAGATTTAATAAAATTGATTTTTTCTAATGCGTGATCATTATAATAAAATGATAAAAAGTTAAAAAAATTAATAATCAAAATATATTCTATACAATTCTATTTATTATATATACATACATATAGGAATATTTACAATAGTGTACAATCTATGAACAATATTTGTTTTATGTGAGAAGTTAAAGAGATCTAAAAACCTCTATAAAAGCTATAGCTTATTTATAAGATATACTAATAACTAAGAATAATAACTTCAAAGAGATATATGCCTCAAATTCATTTGGAACTAGAACTTAGAAATTATTTATCAACCCCGTGATTAGCAGACACCTAGATATATAGGTCAGGGGAGTCAGATGGTGCCTAGCTAGTGCCCTTGCTGACCCTCTTTCTACCTTTGAATTCCTTCATTTGTTCCACTTCTTCACCTACTCTTTCATTTTTCTACTTATTAATCATTCTGATATTCTCTTTTGTACTCTTCTCTGCCACTGAGAATCCATGCGCTCTTGAAATTGAGAAGCATTTACATATATCATCTAACAATGCTTTAATTGGATTGTAGAAACATCTTAATCTTTCACAACTGTGTTAGTGTGAAATTCTCAATTGGTCTTCACACCATTTTTCTTTCTTTCCACTCCCATATCTTCTTTCCTCCTTTTTACTTTCTGATACATTGATAAAAAGCAGAAGCGAAGTAACTCTACAAAGCCTTCATGTGTTTTGTCATGCAAATGCAAAACCAAACTTGTGAAGCTCAGTGGCAATGCCTCCTGCTAAAGACAACTAGTAGAACATTCAATATTCTTTGTCTTCTTCCCAAAGGGACATATCATAGTCTCCTATTCATGCAGAGACTTGGTAAAATCCCTCCTCTAAAAGATTTGAACTTAAGAACTTTCATAAACTACAAATTCTCCACTAGGTTCCTCCACCATAAAATAGCGGATCCACACACTAATCGTATTATACTCAGGAAATAGACAGTAACTCCTAGAAGGTATACAAAATTATAAAAACAAAAGCATTCATCTCACCTTAAAATTAGTCAGAGAAGTGAAGGTGGTGATCATCCCCCACTCCATTGAATATAAACCTATCATGCAAATTAAGATGAGAAATCCTACTTACATCACGCTGTATAACATTCTTTTACATCTAACAAAAAGCTGAAAAGACAATAAATCTATCATAAAATAAGTGCTTGCAAATTATACAATTCAATTAAGATATGCATGCACATGCAATTATGTCATCGATCGGACCGGGATCGGGAGATTAAGAATGTATAAAACCAGCAAGGTATCTCCTTCATTTTCAATATTGCAATCTACCGGGAAATTCAATCAAGACAAATCTTGGAAAGAGATTAAGTTATCCAATTAAGATCATCTATCCTCCTAAATCCTATCCGTTGCTCCTATTCCTAATCCTACTAGGTTTAGGGTTTTTTCTTTAACCCTTGCCGAAACATGTTTTCACTCACCTTTAAAGCATTGATATGGGGGTAGTGGTCATGTATATGCTCACAAGAGATCGAAACCTCTTCGGCTTCTTTGACTGAGAAACCTCGTCTTGTCCCTCTAGAATCTTCCTGGTTGCAGTTTTGTCACTTAGCCTTTGATGAACCTCTTCTCCGTCACAGTTTCTGTTCCTCTTCTTCCCTGCAATATTGTCGCTGCTGCTATCTTCGCTCAGTTGAATAAGATGCTGCGCAGCTTCCATATCCGACACCGTAATTTGAGATTTGCTTTCAGTCGAAGGGGACGATTCTGCCATTGGATTGATTGTGGTTCAACTCAACAATTGGAGAAGAAAGAATATCACTCTTTTCTCAATCGATCTTTCTTCTCCCAGTTCTTGGTGCGCGTCTCTCTCCTTTGTTATGATGTGTTTTGCGTGAGTTGTTTGATTTAAGAGGAAGGAGAAAGTGCTAGGTTGGTTCTACGAAGATACGCAGCACGCATATGTCTCTATTTAAGGCAACAATCTCAATGATGCTTTTATTATTATTATTATTATTATTATTATTATTATTATTATTTAATTTGTAATTTTAATCGATGAATTATTAACGGTTGATTAATTGTAAAGTTATATTGTTGACTTAAGGGCTGCTTTTAATTAGTCTTCAATCTAACGGGTGATATTTAAGCTGAGTCGTTATTTTTATGCATTATCAATGCAATCGCATTTATGTGAATTTGTTGTGCTGTTGAATCCGTATTCCGTAGTGGTTGGCAGTCATGTATATCGTGTTGACCATAGTCATGGAATCAATGACAATGATTTTGAGTCTTTGGTAGAACTTGGAAATTTGGAACATTTGGGTGGGCCTATATTCGTAATATCCTCTCAACTTTTTCTTCTCTTATTCAAAAAGTTGAGGGGTTCATCACGAGAGTCCAGTCCACTTAGCACAAACATTGATTTAACTTTTCTTTTGAAAACCAAATTGATTTATAAACTAGTCTTTACGGAACTTGGTTAAAAATTTAATCAAAACCCACCAAAAAACAAATACGAAAAACAGTCACAAAAACACAATCAAAATAAAAATGTTTAATACAATATTATTTTATTTTTAAAAATTAAATTTAAAATATTTCTCATTTTTATTGTACTCGTTTTGTAATTATTAATCAATGTTAATGTGTAATGTAAACTTAAGCTAAAATATTATAATATATTGATTATAATAAATTTTGATAACCTATAAATTATGTTTTATTTTTTATACTGTAAAACTTGTAATAATATGTATTTTTACCATTATTTAAATATTATTATTTGATGATGTTTTAACTATTGAATTTTTTACCCGCAGCATGATTGGTTCAATCATATATTCATAATTTAAAATTTTAACAGATGGTTAATAACTTTTATATCATCAATCAATTAAGGATTGAAATATATTTAAGTATTATAATTACAGTATCAAATTGGTTTATTAACTTAGTTGGTTAGGATATCAAACTATAAAAAGGTTTTAGGTTTGAGAACTTCATTTATGGACCATAATAAGTATATAATTAGAAAAAAAAATCAAAAATCAAAATATAAGTTTAATGTATGTGAAATCAAATAGAATTGAGTGTTCTATAAAGATTTATCATTGATTTAATCTCTAATTTTTTTAATTCTCTTTGAAAGTAAATTAAACTGATATAATCTTAATATATATTTTTTAATATGAAGATGTATTTGATTTAATTTACCTTTATATAATATAATTTTTTTGTTCAAAACAAATGTATCCAATTCAATTTACCTATATATATATATATATATATATATATATATATATATATATATATATATAAGCTTAATAATATTTTTTTTAATATGAAAATGTATCTAATTCAATTTATTTATATAATTTAATTGATAAAAACTTATTATATTGGTTTAGGAGCTCAGTTGGATTGAACGTCTTGATAATAACGAAAAGGTCACAGGTTTGAATTTAGCGTGCGTCAGAATCTGAATGAAATTAAATTTTATATTGATATTTAATCATTTTTTAAATTTCTCATTGGACTTATATTAAGTTAATTTAGAAAAGAAAACCAACAACTGATATGAATTTAATATATTTGAGATAAAATAGAATAGAATTTTTTTATCGATTTAATCATCAGTTTTTTTAATTCTCTTTAAGGTGAATTAAACTAATATAATTAAATATTTTTTTCTATTGATGTATTTAATTGAATTGATATTTATTCTCGTGATAAAAATGTTTAATTAAACTTAGTAAGTTTTATTAATTCATTTATTCGTGAAAGGATTAAGCTCCTCCCTTTATTCATTTATTTAATTGATTTCATTTTATCTATTATAATAAATATCATAATATAAGAAAAATAATTACAGCAGTATATAGAGGGAGATCATAAGTGTTTATACCATAATTGTTTTTCGATGCAATGAAAAAAAAAAAACAACAATCGTATCACGCATTCATTTTTGTCTCGTATTCTACGAGGTTTAATGTTTTTTGTTTTTTCGATTAAAACAAATTGAATACCATTGATAACTAATTCACCCCTCAATCTTTCTATAAACATTAATGAACATGTAAAATATGGTTAAATATTTCCTATAAATAAAATCAACAAAAGAAAAATTACATGATTATCTAGACACAAAGTACCAAATATAATAATTGATTATCTAAGTACCAAATACAGTCATTGACTTTATCAAAGTCCAGAATAATCAACTTGACATTATTTAATGATGTTATAGAGTTTTTTTTAATATTAAAGTCTATTACGGTTATTTTTTATTATCATTAAAAAAAAAATCTATACAAGTCAGTACTATTTTTCAATGTGTATCAAGGTTTTTTTTTTTTTTTTAATATCACGTGTTTTTTATTTTTTACTTATGTCAAGTAAATTTTTTTATGGACATTAATGAAATTATTTACATATTACTCAAGTTAAGATTCAACCAATATTAATCATAATATAGTTAAGAGTTATTTCTCTCCACCAATGCTAATTAAGGTTTTATTTATTAATATTTATAGGGTTATTTTTTATTGATATTAGTTAGGATTTTTTTTGTCGATACCAATAAAACTATTTTTTCAGTTGATGTAAATGAAGATTTTGAGTAGATATTAACAAGAGTTATTTTTGCTTGACATGTATTTTAAAATTTAATATTTTATTTTAGAAAATCAAATAATTGAAAACTCTAACTCCTTTCCATTCGAACTCCACGTAGTAAGAAGGGTCATTTTGTGTAAACGTTCTAAATTTGAAGTGGTGGAGTAACCACCATGGCCTGTTGATTCTAAAATTTCCTTCGCATTACAGGCTTCCACATAGTGGCAAACATTTAGCTAAATCATCTCCCCCATTCTCATAATACAAAAGCAAATTGTTATAGGTTCTTTAGCGGTTGTCACACCCACTAATGAGGAAAATATTTTCAACGTCGGTTAAAGAGAGGTGACATAAATACAAGAGTCATAGAAAATATGACTTTTTACAAAAAATTTATATTGTCAGATTTCGAACCCAATATATTATAGTCTAGAATTAGATCAACCACTAAATTAACTACTACGATTTTTATTTATTTACAATTACATTTCCTTTATATTATATTATTTTATTATCTATTAGAAGTTTGTCATTAACAAGATTCGAACCACTAGAGTTGAAGATTGATACTTCAACCACCAAACTACTACAATTTTCCGATAAATAACTTACAAACAAATTATATTTATATACAAAATATATAAATACAAATATACTTATATATTTTGATATATTTATATGCTTATATATTTATTTTTTTATTTAATATACACTTTCTATGTCGAGTTAAATTTTAACCGACATAGAAAGTACTTTCTATGTCGATTGAAATTAGTACTTTCTATGTCGATTGAAATTTAACCGACATAAAAGTTGAAATTTAATCAACATAAAAAAGTTGAAATTTAATCGACATAAAAAGTTCACTTTCTATGTTGATTAAATTTTAATCGACATAGAAAGTACTTTCTATGTCGGTTGAAATTTAACCGACATAAAAAGTACTTTCTATGTCGGTTAAAATTTAACCAACATAAAAAATTCACTTTCTATGTCAGTTGAAATTTAACCGTCATAAAAAGTTCACTTTCTATGTCGGTTAAATTTTAACTGACATAGAAAGTATTTTCTTCTATGCCGGTTAAAATTTAACCGACATAGAAAGTGAATTTGTCCACATATCATGTCAGTTATATAACAACCGACATAAAAAGTTCATAATATTATTACAAAAATATCACCGCCCTATATATTATGACGGATAGATTACAACCGTCATAAAAAATCGTCATCGAATCATATTTTCCACTAATGACTAGGAGGATATTCCCCAAACACTTACGATGCATGATTTGGATAAAAGAAATTATAGAGATAATTGATTTTAATAGTAAATTTTAAATATTTTATGATAAAATTAGTTACTTGATAGAAAATTTGGGAAATAATTAAAATTTTAAAATTTATGATAGTAATTTGATTATTTAAAATATCAAATTTCAATTAAAAATATAAGTATTTGAGTTTTTTTTTAATTTGTTTTTCATATGTTTTTCTTGACTTAGTATATTTTTTATTCATCTCAATTTATTTTAACTTAGATTAATCTAACTTCATTCAAATAAGTATGGATAGATAATAAAATAGGTCAATTCACCTTATTTTAATCATTTTTTATTTGATCCGCCAAAAACAATACGAGATAAACTAATTTATTTTAATAACGGCATATTATACATCTTAGTCTGTCATGTCAAAGAATAGAGTCACGGGTTGACCAGTTTTTAAAAAAATTATTTATTTAAAAAAATTCAAATTTTTAATATTAATTAATTTTTTAAAATTAAATAAAAAATTATCTTTAGATAAAAATAAAAATTACATTTTTATTTTTTTCCTTCTCTTATTTTTACGTACAATAAATATCATTTTAATTTTCTCACGTAATTTTCCACTTACATATTTTTCTTTATTTTTTTTTCCATTCTGTCTTCAAACTTTTATATTTTTCTCTTTCACCTTTTCACTTTCCTACTCGCTCTTTTCTTTCACATTTATAAATTTTTATACCACTAATTCATTTTTATATATTTTTTTCACAATAATTACCTTATAGCATAAAATGTGTAAGTTTTTTCTCTTTAGTTTTTCAAATTGTTCTTTTTCACAATTTCACTTTTATAACATAAAATTGAAATTTTCACTTTGGAGACATTTTCGTGGTAGAGAAAAAACAAGAAAATAAAAAAATAAAAGAGACACCTATAATAACTTTCTTGAAATAAAGAAACAGTAAACAAATTTATTGATTTTAATCTGAGTATGTATAGTGTAGTGTAAAATATGAAATATTGTTATATCTTTTTACTAGTTAGTTATTTTAATGTTTTATAATATTTTATTTTGATGTTAAAATATGAAAAAAAAATCACATTAGGTTTTAAAAATATTTATGGAAAAAAAAACTATTAATTCATTTTTCAAGAAAAAATGGATGATAAATAATGAATTAAATTATAATTTTAAAATTTTAAATTTAACAAATAATATTAAAAATATTATTGAACATTTTATATATTATATTTATTTTTATATAATAATTAATTTTTATAGGTTAGTCACTCATTTATAAATTTGTAGCTTCCGCATACAGCTAAAGAAGATTAGTCATTTGATTGTTTATGAAAAATTTAATTATGGATGGATTGTTATTTATTAATATCAATCATGTTAAGAGTGTATATATCAGTTCAATAATTGAAAGTGTAAATGTTTATATAGGAAGTTATATAAGAGGATTCAAACATAAAATGTGAAATTATGAAACATTACATGAAAGGACTACAGACACAATACAAGATTATATATCTCTTTCCCAATCGCTGAACTAGGATTAGGAAATTGATTTCTAAACCGTGCTTCTCCGTCCAAGTAAATTATTCAATTATTCATGGTCACACATAGTTAATTAAACAAGCTCCTTGTTTGCCTTATTATAAAACTTGGAGCCGAAACAAAAGGACTCTCAATCTCTGTTATTTCTAAAAATATTGATATCCCTCCATTGAGATTCCATGTAGTTGGAAGAACCATTCTGTGCGTAAACCCCGAACTTGAAGTAGTGACTGCTGGCTCCACGACCATTTCCATCAAATATCTTCACCCCATTGATAAAAATCTTTACATTGTTGGCACCCACATCATGGATTACGTTGTGGCGGTACCACTTACCGTATATGTCTTGTTCCAGAGTAGGTGATTGGTAATGGGTGAGAGATCCTCCATAGACCCTAGTTTGCGAGGTTGTGGCTGAGGAGGCTCCACCAAACACTTGCTGGATGCACGTTCCGCTTGTCCCACTAGGCACGTAGAAATACCCTTCAAATTGCCACACACCAGAAGTATAATCGTATCCCTGCAAGTGAAAACTAATTAGGGTTTGCCATTTGTGTTGGATTAATTTTCTTGTACGACATTACAATCATTAGTTGCATTAAAATGTGGCAAAGGTTATTTGCATTGGATTGCAGCATGCACTTTACTGCAACATGTTTTTGATTCGTGATTATACAATAATCAATCTTCATGACAGATTTGTGACCTGTCTTGTTTGACAGAGAAAAGAAAATAAGAAAAAGTGGAAATTGATAGTGAAGAAAGAAAAAAGAAAAACTGCGCATGAAATAGATTGGGGCTTACAGTGACACGAATCTCAGTTCGTGGTACTATGTCGCTGCTAGGCGTGTGAGGTTTGTCCGTGGAATATACCCAAAATTTATGCACTCCATTTGAGAAGCTGTAATGCAGGTTTTGTGGAACATCGTGTGGCTTTTGGACCTGGAAGTTGAAGTTGGATAATAGAAGACGGGTGAACCCATCTGTGGGATTGGCAGCGACCAAGGAAGGAGTTGTGATACAGAAAAGTAATGGCAAAAGGGTTTGATGGAAAATGGGTTGGGGCACCACCATTATTGCAGATCGAAGACTATTAGTGTTTTCCTCGAATATATATCAAGTAGATAGTAGTATATCTGTGAGGAATGTTTGAAGGACAACGTTCATTCAGAGTCAAATGGTTGACACGAACACTGTTGACATTGCAGGTTTATTGATTTTTCCATAGTGCATCTCTTATTTTATCCTGTACTATTTGAAAACTATAAGAAAATGCATAACTTAGTTTTTAATTTATTTTTATCTTTTTTAAAAATAAAAATGCATAACTTAATTTTTAATTTGTAGAAAAAATAGATTAATATTTTTCTTTTCTTATTCCACATACACTTTACAAAGAAGAGTACTACTTAGAAAAATGGTTAATAGTGGCCAAAATTAGTAATCGAAAAATTCGATCATCGATAATAAGCTGAATCAGTGATTGATTTCCTTTTTATATTCAATAACTAAAATTTTAGTCACGAAACCGGTCACTAATTCGATCATCGAATCAGTCACTAATTAGTTAATAGTGACCGAAAAATTCGATTCACGAATAGTAACGAGAATCAGATGATTGATTTTTCTTTTTATATTTAGTGGATCGATTCAGTGATTAAAATTTCAATCACGAAACAAGTAACTATTTTTCATTTATGTAAATATTTTTTAAAATATTCTAATAATATATTAAATATATATCTATTTAATAACTTAAAATAATTGATAACATTTTTAATAATATTATAATTTTTTTTAAAAATAGTGTACTAACTTATTAAATAATTTAGTAATATAATTATTTAATTTTATTTTTTAATTTAGCATGTGAATAAAAAAATTAAAATTAATTATTAAATTAGTCATCAAATCGATCATTGATTCGATGGCTGATTCAATAATTATATATATATATATATTATTTATATCTTAATAAAAATGTATTTCAATATATTTATAAAAAATAAAAATTATTTTAATTACTTGAATTGATATTTTAAATTTATATTAATATTTTGGATAATTTAATAGTTAAATATATATTTTAAGTTTATATTAGTTATTTTTATATAAATTGTAAAGATTAAGTAAATTTATTTTAAAATTTAATTAACCATAATAATATAATATACTATTAACCATATTATTAGTTAGAAATTAATTTTAAGTTTTATCATATTTATTTGAAAAAAAATGGTTAAAAAAAATAAATAAAAAAAATTAAAATAAAGAAATTTAATTTAATAAATGTGTTAATATTATTAGTTATTAGAAAATTAAATTTATAATAATAATAATTATATAAAATTATAGAATTGATAAAATTTAAATTATTGGTAATTTTTTTAATTAAACATAAATAATTTCAAATAAAAACATAAGATTTAATTATTAAGCTAAAATTCATAGTATTAATAAATTAAAAAAAATAAAAAAATTATATATATATATATATATATATATATATATATCACTTAATTATTTTAATTAAAATTAATTTCATGAAAAAAATTAATATTTGAAAATATGAAAAAAAAAAAAAGGATTTTTGTCCCAGCACTTGCCCTAATTCCCAATCAATACTTTCCTCCCTCGCCGCTTTCTCTTCTCCCTTATTCACAATCTCCATCGGCCTCTATTCCCATTGCCGAGCCACCCTCACCATCCAACTACACCCTCCGCACTGCCTTGTCAACCATCCATCTCACCGTCACCACCGCACCATCCACCATTCCTTTTTCCCCTGTCATTGCTCCTACGTGCCCTAAACAACCAACACCCACCCCATTTCCAAATAACCCATTCTCCCCTCAAGCTTTGGTCACCACCACACCCACAAGCACTACCGCAGTGAACCTCCGCTCTCTCTCCCATCACGACACATTATTTCCAACCTCACCCCCTCTCCTTCTCACACTCTAATCCCTAGCCACCACAAAAACTCCAATCGCACCGCCTCTGCATTCGTAAACCACTGTCTCACCTCATCCATTCTTACCCATTTTCCTTCGATTCAACAGCCCAAGCCTCCCAGCTCATGCCTCCAACAGATTCGCCTTCGCTCGCTGCACCCAAATCGCCATCGCGTGTCATTCTCGCCAGCCACTGCACCAACCCTAACCAGCGCCGCCAGCAGCCACCGCGACGCCCTTAGCTGCTACCGCGAATCCAAATTTCATGCATGACGTTACAAGGAACAACTCTGATATGTATGTTCAAATTGCAATCAATCTCTGTTTCATTTTTCTTTTTTGACCTTTATCACCAGTTATGTCTAATAAGACTATTAGAAGAAGTATACGAATGCATTAGTGTATGTATTAGGGCTTTATTAGCGATATCTAGTATTTGGGATTTTTCTATTTAGGTGTTGAGGTTAAGGTTGGAGAGTCTGTTAAAGGTAGACCCAGCTGAATTTGAGGCATGCATACACCTTTCTCAGGTTAGGGTTTTCGTGGATGCTATTTTTGTTGTACTTTTATGTATGTGTAGAGATGGAGGAGTTGTTATAAGGACCATAAATTGGTATAAGAATTAACTCAATACTGAGAAAAGTTTAAACTTAACATTTTTTTCAATTAAATCTTTTCTCATCTTTACATGGACTTGCATGTGAATGGATTTCCAGGAAATATATGCACAAGGGGGTTATTGTTTGGCTGGTTGGACGTACCAGTGGAAGCCTTGACACAAAGAATTGCAGCTGTAGGAACTAATTCTCGCCCCCTTCTACACTATGAAGCAGGGGATCCTTATGCATGGGTAATTAGTAGTATTCAATTGTAAGATTGTTTTATTTTGTCTTTTCTAAACACAACATAGTAACTTTAAAGTTACCAAGCTGATCTAACTTGTCATCTTACGAATTTGCATCAAAATTAATTTTTCCCTTTGGAATTCACATGCAGGCATTTATACGATTGTCTGCTATTTTTGAAGAATGCCAATGCTAATGCCAATGGTGGCATTGGTATCTCTAATCCAGGTTATTGGGGCATGGTAAGGAAATTAATATATATACTTTCCATTCACACATTGTAAATTTTGTCTATTATTTGTGTTATGTAAGTTTAAATGTAACAAATAATTGCCAAAACAATGTAACCATCACACTTTGTTGTTTAATTTTTTTCATGTTCAGAATTTTATTAAAATGACTAATTGGTGGTTCTTGACATTTATTAAAATGACTAATTGATGGTTCAGCTATGCCATTAGACACTCATATGGTTGGTAGAATAAACAATCACACCTTATAAATCAACAAATGTAGCTATGACCATATTGATGGTAATATTCACTTGTTTTTCATTTTTCTTTTCCTTTACATTACTTCATTTTTCTTTCGAAACAGGGCCATGGCTTCAGAAAGGACCTTTTTCAGATGGTGGCAGATTTGAAACCAAAATTTCTCAAATTTCCTGGTTTGTTGAAATTATTTGTTTCCAAAGTTAGTTATGATATTAACGAATAATATTTCTTCTTTCTAAACTTTGTTGTAAAATAATATCTCTAAGACCTAACATTATTTGTCAATGCCACTATATTAGGTGGTATATATGTTGAACGTGATTATCTGCGAAACAGATATTAGTGGAAAGATACAATTGGACCATGGGAACAGAGACCTGGACACTTCGATGATATTTGAAACTATTGGAGTGACGATGGAATTGGTTATTTGGAGTGTCTCCAAGTGAGTGTATTATTATTCTTTGACAACTATGATTAAATTTTCCCTTCTTTAGTTGAATAAATATAATGATTTAATATTTCTTGAGCAGCTAGCAGAGGACCTTGGTGCATTGCCCGTAGGGGTTTTCAATGCTGGTATATATATTCTTCTTGTCTTAGCTCATTCATTCTCAACAATCACAACTATTTGAATTAATTTGTCTCTATTTGCTAATTATTTGAGTGTCTTATTTATAGGTATCAGTGTTGCTACTTTTTCCCTTTGGAATTCACATGCAGGCATTTATGCGATTGTCTGCTATTTTTGAAGAGAGAGGTGAAGCATATGCCAATGCCAATGCCAGGGTCTTGTTAAAAAGTATGTCCATTAATCTTTCTTTCATGTTTTGAAATACAACATGTGGAATTATTCATAATATATGGGATGATAACATGCTTTGTATTTATTGTTTATGCTTCCCTGATGATAACAATTCTCTGCAATATCTAATATTCTGTTTGTGCCAGATATAGCAATAAAACTGGGAAAAAGAGATGTGTCTGAATTGTCTCCAACTGATATTGCATTTGAGGTCTTGAGCAATTTCTAACCCTATTTGGTTGGGGCTCCAGGCAAACTGAAACATTCCTGGGAGCTAAAGTTGAATCTAACTTTTGTATCATTGATGCTTATGTACAGCGTTATTCCTTTATATCTTGCAAGCGCTGGAACAAATTAACAACTTTTTGAAGGGTGAAGGTGGCAGCTATGCAGAATGCTAATACCAACTTTGGTCACAAACTTCATTCGATTGTTCATATATATATATATATATATATATATATATATATATATATATATATATATATATATTTTTTTTTTTTTTTGTACAATTTACAATTTTGATTAGGTCATGTTTTGGACCTTAATCTACCTATTGTTGTGCAATATATTTCTTTGGTAAGAAAGGGAAGTAATTTGTGTTGTATGCATAATTTGTTTTAGCAATTAGCATAACATAGCAACCGTATTAAATTTATGTTCTCTTTATTGTTGATGTATATATATATATATATATATATATATATATATATATATATATATATATATATATTATATGTATGTACACACACGTCTTCCTCTAAGAAGGTTTTATATGTTTTAAACTAATGTTGCACTCAAATACTTTTAATTCTATGCTTATTCCTGTGCGAAAGATCTCTAAAACACTTGTCAGTTATCATTTTTCTTTTTTTAATTTTAAAAACAAATTTCGTATTCAAGTAGTCACAATATCTTATTAATTGCAGTGATAAAAGTATCTCATTAGTAACTTGTGTTGTTGAATATATATATT